AACTGCTAACAGCTAACTGCTAACCGACCGTTAAAACCGTTAAAACCGTTAAAATATTAAAACCAGGAATGCATTACTGAGCCGACCGTTACCGACCGTTACCGTGTGAGCCCGCTGAGCCCGCTGAGCCCGGTATAAACGCGGTACAGGTTTGATTCCGGGCAGATACTCACAGTTCAGACTCTCGACCTTCAGCAGCAGCTAACACACACTGCGCACACCGGAAGCGACTCTACAGGAGCCGCACAGGGACAAACATACATCCTCTGAACGCGAACTCAGTTCAGTCGAGGTCAATGAAAAAACAAACATTCAAACAATGAATGTGTTTAAATGTGACAACAGGTGTTCTGCACCAGGATCAATACTGACCTATTATTAGTTTCTAATCTATCAGAAGGTCCAATATCGGATTATTGATTATTGATTAGTCACAGGACCATCACAGTATGGATTACAGGGTTAGTGGCACACACACACACACACACACACACACACACACACATATATATTTATATACACACATTAATAAACTTTATACACACATATTAAATGTGTGTTGCAGTAACAGAGTCCGACCACCAGAGGGAGGCAGACTAACAATCAATCAGTTTATTTTAAATTAAACACAAAACATCCAAACACAATAAATAAATAAATAAATAATTGTTGGTTAAAGTTTGAATAACTGCAGTAAACTCTTTAAAGTTCCTCTGAGTTATAAACTGTAACTATATGATCAAATACATCCAGTCAGAGTGAGGTAATTACATTATACTGTAAAGTCTGAATATAATATATAATAAAATAATAATGATCATTTAGAAATATACATTTAGTATTTAACCGACTGATGTTCAGTGTGTCTGCAGTTCACAGATCATCCAGCAGAGGGCAGACAGGACTCAGGTGTATTGATCATGGCGATGACACAGAGGTATCGATACAACCGCCATTGAAGGGTTAATAAAATCACACTGGTCCAAAATTATGTAAAAATATGAGATTTATTGATTAATCCAAAGAGATTCGACACATAATAACATGTTTATGATATAATGGAATTTGCAGCCTGATGATAAATGAGACAGGTGAAATATATTCCATAATATTAAAGAAACAGTGACACATCAGCTGAAATACACCTCAGACCGGTTTTATTAACATATTTTATTGTACAAAACATTTGAGTGGAAAAGCTTTTGCTCCACACACGCAGTAAATAAACCTGAAAGGTTAATACACAATAACAAACAATACACAGCAACAGAGCAAAGATGGTTGCACTCCGTCCTAAACGTCTGTTCCATAAAGTGCATTTAATATTTACTTTACTTTATTCTCACTAAGAACCTGCACAAGAAGTTTATCGATATTTAAAGGAGAATTCTGCTGATTAATAATCGATCAATACTGTCACATGGAAACCTTCTATCACCAGAAAGCATGTTAGAGATTGTTTCTGACTCAACCAGCAACTGAACTGGACCACTAAAGGTGCCAGGACCCCAATTCATCTGAACCCTGAACACAACACAACCCTAACTCTGAACCCTGAACCCTGAACACAACACAACCCTAACCCTGAACCCTGAACACAACACAACCCTAACCCTGAACCCTGAACACAACACAACCCTAACTCTGAACCCTGAACCCAACCTAACCCTAACCCTGAACACAACACAACCCTAACTCTGAACCCTGAACCCTGAACACAACACAACCCTAACTCTGAACCCTGAACCCTGAACACAACACAACCCTAACTCTGAACCCTGAACACAACACAACCCTAACCCTGAACCCTGAACACAACACAACCCTAACTCTGAACCCTGAACCCTGAACACAACACAACCCTAACTGGAACCCTGAACACAACACAACCCTAACTCTGAACCCTGAACACAACACAACCCTAACCCTGAACCCTGAACACAACACAACCCTAACTCTGAACTCTGAACCCTGAACACAACACAACCCGAACCCTCAACACAACCCAACCCTAACTCTGAACCCTGAACCCTGAACACAACACAACCCTAACTCTGAACCCTGAACACAACACAACCCTAACTCTGAACCCTGAACACAACACAACCCTAACTCTGAACCCTGAACACAACACAACCCTAACTCTGAACTCTGAACCCTGAACACAACACAACCCTAACTCTGAACCCTGAACCCTGAACACAACACAACCCTAACTGTGAACCCTGAACACAACACAACCCTAACTCTGAACCCTGAACACAACACAACCCTAACTCTGAACCCTGAACACAACACAACCCTAACTCTGAACTCTGAACCCTGAACACAACACAACCCGAACCCTCAACACAACCCAACCCTAACTCTGAACCCTAACCCTGAACCCTGAACCCTGAACCCAACCCAACCCTAACCCTGAACTCTGAACCCTGAACCCAACCCTAACCCTTCCACTGTTGCCGGGTTTTAGATTTGTGTCACAGAACGGGTCAAACACATGGAGGGAAAGTTACTTTCAGGTGATAATCTGACGACTCGTATTGTCCTCTCTGAAAAGATATCGAGGTCCGGACCTCAGTGACCTCAGTTGTGGGTGCGGCCGTGCTCGGGTCCATTTCGGGTTCTGGTCTCGACCCTAAAGAGGAACAGTCATTCTGTCTGTGCTGTATCACTGACACCTTTAATGCTAATCACGTTAGCGCTGCTGGCTGACACCAGCAGAATACTGGATGAATTCTGGTTCTGCTGCTGACGTTGAATATTAACACTGAAATATAAAAATCAATCATGCTGAAGTTATTGATTACTGATTGTTTATTAGTATTAACTTTATCAGGCAGTGAATATCTGTGCTGCTCTTTCCAAACGATGAATAGTCTGAAGCATGTTGAGAAAATTACAGTTTATAATCAAAGACTGACTGTCACACACACACACACACACACACACACACACACACACACACACACACACACACACACACACACACACACACACACTCACACACACATCCAGTTGTTACACTGTGGTACCAATAACCTGCTAATGAAACATGAGCTATCACACAACCTGACCAAAAACAACTTCTCTTTGTTATCTCTGTAATATGTGTGTGTGTGTGTGTGTGTGTGTGTGTGGTGAGAAACAGAAACACGGTTCAGATGACGACAGTCTAATCAATGATATAATTATGTGCTGTAGCTCATGTGGCTGCGTGTTGTTTGGATTAGGACGTTAATTAAAGAAACATTTCTGTTTCTGGACTCTGGTTTGATTTCTTCTTTCTCGCTCGTTTTCCAGACTTTCAACATCAAACAAACTAATAATAAAGTATAATTTTTCACTTAGTTGTTCACTTAGTTCCTCGGTTGTTTCCTTCCTTCACTGTTCAGACATCCAGAGTAAATGTTACAGTATGTGGATGAAGATTGGAAGTGTTGCTGTTGGTTTGATTACTCATCCATCAGAACACTTCAGTCTGCTCACTGTTCTGTTCCTGGAGGATAATTAGAACCATAATGTCCAACGTCTCTCTGTTAGCTCTCATTAACAGGACACAGACATCCAGAAACCACAACCCTCGCTGTGGTTCTCCAGAGGGTTTTTGGGTTTGAAGGAGAAAACATTGTTGCTCAATCTCAGATCGATCGGTTTCTTCTTCGGCACATCGATCAGACGCTTCCACATTCAGACATTAAAATATTGATTAATACGCAGAAACTTCAGTCGGATCATTGGCTTCATTTAAAGAAGTCAAATTAAAAGTCAGTTCATCCATTTCTTATTGATTTCAGTCTTTATTGTTCCATCAGCCTTTTGGGCTCATAATAACATTTACCTGTGTGTATCAGACATTATTATTATCAACAGGGATGCATTGATTTATCGGCCGAACGTCGGGATCATGGAGATGCTTTGAAGTAATAGAAGGCTGTACCGTGAAGCTGCTCCCCTCCCCTCACACCTTCCCCACACTGGAGGGTCTGTGTGAGGGTCTTTCTGTGATTGGCCAGCTGTTTGTGAACGTGAGAAAGGAGTCTGGCTTCTCTCTCTACCTCTCTTTGATCATTCTTACACAATATTCCTCCAATGGTTTGCACAAACATCATGAAAGTCTTCCAGGAGAGACCATCACACTTCTTTCCTCTCGTTGGGAACAGCTGTCGGACGGGTCGGTGTGTGAATGGGGGAGTCGGAGGCAATCTGTAGAGTGCTTTGGATAAAAGCTCTATATAAAGACGCTGTTCAACAACACGTGAACTCTTCTAGCAGAACCAAACTCTCGTGGATTCAGGGTCGGTTATGAGAACAAAGTCTCAAAGAGGACATTAAACAGTTTATCCAGCAAGACTTTCAAATGGTGAAGGTGGAGCCCGGGGGTTTGTAGGGTTGTACCATCGTGGTGCTGGAGCCGAGGGGCGTTTCACATCATCAGGACGGTATTTTGAAAGGGGTGTTGGCAGGTTGTACCATCACGGAGGCGGAGCGGCGTTGTTAGAAGTCATAGGGTCGTACCATCATGGAGGTGGAGCGCAGGGAGTAGCTGGGGCCTCTGAAGTGGTGCCACTTGATGCCGTTGAGCTTCCTGATGTTGTGGCCGACGGTGTAATAAATACCGTTCAGGTTGGAGAAACCGCAAGCGTCAAACCACCAACCTGAGAGAGAGAGAGAGAGAGAGGGGGGGGGACAAAGAGGAAGATGAGTAGTGGGAGATGAGGAGGGAAGAAGAATTAGCCAGGAGAGAGAGAAGAGGGAGAGATGATGAGAGTGTTTGTGTGCTGAAACAAAGACTTTGCACACATTGTGAACTCGTTATCTGGTTCTGCCAAGTTGGCCCTCTGACTGAAGCGAGAGCCGGGCTCAGAGTGCCGACAGTTGGGAGCCGGTGCTGGTTCTGAAGGGACTGCTGAAGGCCCGACTGAGGGTGGAACAAGTTCACTATCAGCTGATGGACAATGTGCAGGCCTTCAGTCACATATGAGCTGCTGGCGGAGTTTAATTCTCTGAGGGGAAGAGAGAGCTGATTGTAGATTTCTGATCAGAGAAACACGAGGTTGACAGGTTTTGCTTTATTTTAGTAATGTTTGTTTTTTTGGTTTCTGCTTGCTGTGGTTCAATAAAGATATTTTGAAAACCTCCTCTCCTCCTCTTCCCGTCTCTCCTCTCCTGTATTTCTCCTCCTACTGCGAGCCTGCTGAGATGGATGGATTAGACTCCTCTCTGAACATCAGTGTTGATCCAAAATAGAGAAACTGTTTCTCTCATTATTTACAACGCTCTGGCTCTAACACAAATCCTCTTGGACTCTTTGTTTCTCTTTTCTCACCCCTCCTCTCTTTATCTCGCCGTCTCTTTTCCTCTGTTTTCTCTTTCTCTCACTGTCGTTGCCTTTCTTTATCACCTTTCCTCTCTCTTTTCATTCCCCAGTTTCACACTTTCTGAATTCAGTTGGAGACTCAATCTAGGTTCCACATGAAGTTGGTGTTTTCTGATCGAACCACGTCAATGTTTAGACAACTAAAGCTATCTGGATCGTGGTGTAAAAGAAATATGTGTGAAACACCACATTATTCACAGGATCATAAGAGGAGAAGACAGTCTCCTGATATCAGTTTAGAAAAAGCTCAATGAGGCTATTTATACATTTAAATGTGCATCTCACTCTCTCCTGATCTTTTCTTTCTGTTGTTTCTTTGTTTTTTTATCTCTGCCACGTTTTCTTTTTACTTTCTCTGTAAATTGCTGTGATTTTAAATGACTTGCTGACTAATGGTGAACACTGAAGTCTTTTCCTCAGAGGACTCGAGGTTTTGCCGGAACGATTAAGTTAATCGCCGATCGCGGCCCATCGAGGGGAGGCCGCGGAGAACTAAAGAGCTGTTTGTCTTGGCGTTGGCACAAGGTGAGAGGTGACGGAGAGACAGATGTTTGAAAGAGCTTTTGGGAAAATATCTCTTATTCTGATCCTCAACTACAAAATATGTATTTTTGGAGTCATCAAGAATTTTCTTATTTGGTGATTTATGACAGAGAGATATTATTTAATGATGTTTAATAAACTTTTATTAAATGATTATCATGCTTGTGGTAGAGAGGAGGAGAGGAGACAGGAGAGGAGACAGGAGAGGAGACAGGAGAGGAGAGGAGACAGGAGAGGAGACAGGAGAGGAGAGAGGAGAGGAGACAGGAGAGGAGAGGAGAGGAGACAGGAGAGGAGACAGGAGAGGAGAGGAGACAGGAGAGGAGACAGGAGAGGAGAGGAGACAGGAGAGGAGAGGGAGAGGAGAGGAGAGGAGAGGGAGACAGAAGAGGAGAGGAGACAGGAGAGGAGAGGAGACAGGAGAGGAGAGGGAGAGGAGAGGAGAGGAGAGGAGAGGAGACAGGAGAGCAGGGCCGCTGGAAGTAATTTTGAACAGGGGGTGCTGTGAAAAAATAGTTTCTTTGTTTTTTTTGGACAAAAAACCTTTGAGCCTATAGGCCTATTTAAAATACATTTTAAAAATAAATAAATAGATTGAGATTCACTACTTTATTGTCATATACACTTCAGTGCACACAGCCAGGGTCTCTAACACACAGACGTCATCAGTTCTCAGATGAATATATGCACTATTAATTAAACTTCACAATAACGCTATAACAATGCAATAGATTTGGTCAGCTGGCATGAACCTGAGTCACTGCAACATCTACGTTTATGTCACACGCGACTCTATTAGCTCCAAAATCCTTTTACGCAAACCACAAGGAAATAATCTCTGACTAGGTCAGCACGTTATTGAATCCATCTCCATCCCCACCACCTTGCAAAAATACTATAGTGTGACGTTAAACTGCATGAATAGATATGAAAGTGCGCGGCGGCACCATGCTCTTACTTTGAGCTACAGGCAGGGTGCCCTGGTTACAGGTGTCCAAATGTCGAGGTGCGCTCTGGGGTCGTGGAGATAAAGTCTCTCATGAGGGGACGAATGTCCAGGGAGTTCAGAATGTCTGTGTGGGTATGCATCAGCGAAAGATGTGTGAGTCTTTTCTGGGTCATGGTGCTGCGTACCCATGTCTTCAAAAGACGCAAGGCGGAGAAAGTGTGCTTGGATGAGGCCACGGAGATGGGTAGGCACAGACATAACTCCATCAGTTTTTCTATCTCTGAAAACATGGCTCTTGTTTGTGGCTGGAGCTTTGTCAAACATGATGCTACATCTTGGACTGTGAACTTAGACCCTCTGTCTTTTGTGACATCGGTGAGCTGCTTGAGAACCTCTTTACTCGGCGACCACTAGCCTGCCTGATGTTGACAACGTAACTTCCGTGAACCTGTGTTGATTTGGCCTCAAAATAATTAAAAATCCAAAATCCATGTAATAGTCTATGTGTGTCAAAATCCTTTCCCAAAATATTCACAAGGAATTTATAAATTGTGCAAAATATTTTTAATACATTTTTTTAAAATCTCGCTCTCGCAACTAGGGGGTGCTGCAGCACCCCCACTTCCTGCAGCCATGCAGGAGAGGAGAGGAGAGGAGAGGAGAGGAGAGGAGAGGAAAGGAGACAGGAGAGGAGAGGAGAGGAAAGGAGAGGAGACAGGAGAGGAGAGGAGAGGAGAGGAGAGGGGAGGAGAGGAGACAGGTGAGGAGAGTCGTTACCTCCAGTGAGCATCAGGGCACATTTGCAGTGGTCACAGTTGTCGTTGTCCTGGTCTCGGGTGCTGAATCCGGTCCCGTGGGTGGCCAGACTGCTCTGTCTCCCCGCTGTGCCGCTGTAACCTCTCAGATACAACCTGAGTGAGAGGAGACAAGGTGAGTGATCGGCTGGAAGATTGAGTCTTTCAGTGCTGTACGTGGACAGTATGGATGTATAATGTAGATATCTGTGCAGGTATACTTAATGTAGTATATGTGTATGAATATGTAGAATATGTATGTGATATACAGTTTGTGTATACTGCTGTAGTCTAACTGTTACCTGTACTGCTGTCTCTCACTGGTCAGTGTAAATCGGTCGTACTGGGAGTGGGCGGGGTTATCCTCCCAGTCCCTCAGCTCCACCCTCAGAGAGTACTGACCCTGACTGGTCAGCAGGTACAGAACTTCATTACCCAGCCAGTGTTCTCCTAACACGTCCCCGAAACCCTGCAGGAGTGGAGGAGGTAACATTTCAGTCCGTAGCATTTTTTATTCTACCTTTTATTTTCATTCATATGCTTTTATAGGGTTCCCACTCTTTTTAACAAATCTTTTCCAGGACCTTTCCAGGACCTTTCCAGGACCTTTTCCTGGAGTTATTCTTGACATTACAGGACAGCACTGAACACCATTAATTAACCATTAATAACAGTCATATAAGCTGCAAATTGCCTATAAGTAACAGTTCAAATCAAGTAGAATTGATTTTATTTGACAGAAAATAAACATTCATTAAGTTAAAGTGTTCATTGCACATGCCATAAACGTCTAGTATTTACCAACCACAGCAGCAAGAAATGTGATATTATCAGGCTGTGTGCACAAGTCTGTTCCACTTTGCATCAAAATACACACCCAGGTTTATGGAGCAATCTGAGTGACATACATTTCCAGGACAACATAGATTATTTCCAGGATATCTGGTCATTTTGATCATTTTCCAGATGTTTCAATGACTGTAAAACTAGGCTCTAAATGTCTCAGGACGTGTGGGAACCCTGTCCAAAGAGACAAACTGACCATTTTGTATTCCCTCCAGCTCCTCTGGAAGTCCACGCTGCCGTTAAATCTCCGCTGGAAGACCGTCCAGCCTCCACCAGCCGTCTCCATGTCGCAGTACACCTTGAGGAGACGACAAAGAGAGACGTGTGACTGAAATGACCGGAGTAGCGAGGCGCTGCAGGCGGAGTATCAGCTCAGGTGTCCATCGTACCTGCACAGGCTCAGACCGGTTGCCGATGTAGATGTGATACAGGCCGCTGACAGAGTGACCCGCCTTGTAAGCATCTGCACAGTCCCTCCACATCTGGCTCCTGGGAGGCGACCCTGAACACACACACACAGGAATACAGCAGAGCAAATACAATAAAATGCAACAAAATGTAGTAAAATCAAGATAGCTCCTATTTTAGTTGGCTTGTCTAAGCGTGTGTGTGTGTGTGTGTGTGTGTGTGTGTACCTGTAGTAGTAGCCACCATGTTAATGAGTGTGTGGACAGACTCCATCAGCTGAGCCTGCTGCCTCTGCAGAGCCGTGTTGTTGCTGCTGGCGACTCTCAGCTGCCTCTCTAAAGACTCGATGGCCGCCATCTGAGTCCGGACGACAGACTGGAAGAAAAAGATTTACTCCTGTTGAGTCACTTTGTTCTGTCAGACATCAGATTTATAACTATAATATATTGTTTCTTTAATTTGCCTTTTCATCCATCCATTAAAGTGGAATCTTGATTATCTTTCTTGGTTTTTACTTTTCAGATTTTATAAATTTTATGCGATTGTAGATTTTATGTTCTGTTTGATTTAGACTTTTTATGTTTGTGTCAGCCAGCTGAGACTAAAGTAGTTTGGCTGAATAGAAACAGCTAAATAATACAATATTTAGATCTGTATCATTTATGAGGTCAGACAGTCGCTCGGCCTTATAAATGCAGATTCATTCACATAAAATCTCCTTAAAGTGATCCTGACATTCAGATGTCACTTTTATTGATTGTACCTGCAGTCGGTTCTTCTCCTCCCTCATGTCCTCCAGCTCTCCTTTCTGCTGAGACTCCAACAACTGAACTTTACTCTCCAAACGACTGAAAGCCACAAACAGAAGACACACACAGAGCTTTAGACACTCGAGCGGATTGTGTGACCGAGCTGTAAATAAGATCAACGTCCCCTCAAAAGGCTCCTTTTTATGCCAGTGTATATTTCTTGTTTTCATAGATAGCTGGCTGAAGGTAACATGATATGATATTAAGATATTTCCAAACAAGCTACAGTGGAGTTTGATGTTTAAATGATAAAACCAATAAGTTCTACGATACTGAACAACCTCACTGTTTGTCTGTTAGAATCACTGTTGGAAGAATAAAACAGTTTTGTGATGTGACAACAAAATATTTGAGGTTTGATTTTGGTTAAAATTACAACTTTGTTTAGGTTTTGGGAGCTTTGTTGTCATGGTAACAATAATAAACACGTGGGGTTTTTTTTTTTTTATGTGTTGATGTAGTAGTTGTGTGTCCTGTTATACTGTTTTTTTTTTTCTTCTTTGCCCAAATCCTGAAAAATACAATTATATTTAAAAAAAGACTTCTGTAACAGCAGGATAAAAGGATTCTGGGAAATGTAGGAAATTACTAAATTAGGAAGAACTTGAGATGGCAGGTTGAGGGAAAAATGGGTACACCAAAAACGTAAATTACTGTACTGTATACAAAGCATACGTCCTGCAATGTGTCAGATTAACGTTCGACTGTTTAACCGGACGGTTGTGTGTCAGAGGGAGGAAACAAATCCAAACTATTTGTACAACAAATCTGTCCGTAATGGAGCAGAGGTTGTAACTCCTGAGTTACTCCCTCTTGTTAAAGAAGCCGTAAAAACAGTGAAATAAAGATTAATAACCTGACCATCATTCTTTCTGCCAGAGCGGACTACGGAGCCCGTTATCTCTGCAGCTGAACCAGCAGTGCAGCTGCTGAAAATAGACTCCAGCCCACAGTTAGATCAACAACGGAGGAGCCAAATGAATGAAACCTGATGAAGGAGTGGCAGCAGCTTCAGAGGGAAATATGGGACACTGAAAGTGGCTCAATGTACAGTTCACACTCACTTTTCTGGCTCTGAGCAAGCAGAGCGGAGAGCTCAAAGAGTCGGGTGGGACAAAATGTGTCTTTTCTAATGTTTCCCAGAATAAGTCACAATCTGTGTGTTAAGGTGGTGAAAAAGTGCTAGCTACATTATTCAGGGTAAAATATCTCACTACTTCTGAGCAGGCACTTAAACACATGTAAGGAACAGTGTGACTAACACTGAGGTGAGGTTGCAGTCGTTTTACCTTCCCATTCTCAGCGTGAAGGAGAAACACTGGTGGAAAACAACCGTATCGAGAGTCAGTGTTTGGTTTGTCTGTTCTGGCCCCCCCCCCACAGTGTCTGTACATAAAAACGTCTCATTCTAAGGTAACAAAAACACAATGATTCTTATTTTCATGTGATTAAACACTAATGAAAACATACATTTTAATATTATATTCCATTTCTGCCAATAGATCCTCCTAAATAGATAAACTGGACCTTTACAAATTAGGACGGTTGGCTGATTTTAGGTGTATTGAAGCTCAACTCTTCTCCTGTGGTTGAGTGAATATGTGAATATCTGTACATTAACACTCAGAGATGTAATGTGAGATGTATTAATATAAAATCTGTAGCTTTTCTAACCAAACTGTACAAAAGTCCAGTTTGTGCTGAAGTGTAGCTGACAAGAGTCGGACACCACCCTCCATCTTCCTCTAATGTGCGGCTGTATCACGTAGCTCTTTTGTACCTATGAGTGATATCGTTTTACATCAGCAGGTGAGACTTTGGTCACATTAAGAGCTGAAACACATTATCAGCTGCTGCTTCTGATCACTTCAATATGCTGACCTGCACATGAACGAGGCAACATCGCTTACTGTGATGTAGACTGATGGGGAGTCACTGATCGCTGTGGCGCTGTGGTTTGTGCAGTGTGTGTGTGTGTGTGGGTGTGTGTGTGTGTGTGTAGGTGTGTGTGTGTGTTTCATATTGGGATTTCAGAAATATGAACTTTATATTACAACCTGGAAATCTTTAAATTAGAAACCAAAACACAGAAAAGAAAGTTAATTTCCTTCCTTATTTCCTCTTAAGTATATTTCTGTTTAAAGACAGCGATTAAATGTTGTGAAACTACAACAGGGAACTATAAGGAAACTAAAACAAAGAAATAAAAAAATGAGTCCAGTGCGTTTAATAAAGCAGAAGTTCAAAAAACTGTAACTGCATGGTGAAAAGAATTGACTTATAAATGGGTTAGGGTTCCTGAATCCACTGAATCCAAGACACTGGTCCTTTAGGATTATATTCAGACTTTCTAAAGATCCTGAGTATGTTGCTGTACGAAGTGTAATGTCTGACATTAGAGGGTGCATCTAATAGTTGTCTAAACTTAAACCTCAGCACAGCCTTCTGGATTCAACACCGCTGATGTTTAATAGTGTTGAAACAGTTTCACTACAGGAAAAAAAAAAGCTTGTTTCCTGGTGAAAAATCCGACACTGCAGCAGCCTTCATCACGTAGCGGGTCATCAGCACAAAGATCTGACTTCTATTTTAGAAACAGTACATTCGACCTGCTCCAACAAATTAAATTCTGTTGGTATGTACACAACGTAATCAGAACCAGCTCCCTGAGCAGCAGCGCATTATTATCAGGAGTTTAAACAAATGTTTTCAGGTAAATTAAAGGATTAAATGCTCCGTGGTTGAGAACATTTTCCTACCTCACAGGCTTTTACAGACCTCTCAGATCACGCAGGATTATCAGCAGAATGCTTTGTCACCAAATTAAAACTAGACTGTTGTTCTTATTCCTTCATTGTTGCACTCTGAACATGCCGGCCCATGAGAGGTGACCGCTTCAACATTTTAGTGCAATATGACTGGAACAAAGTGAACAAACAGATTAATCTCAAGCTCAATGCAAAGTGGAACCGAACAGACTCTTATTTGATGCCGGAGGCGTGAATTTAGGTGAAGATGCACAAGTGGAGTGAACTTGAGTGGTTGAGGTTCAAATGGAGAAATGTTTGTAGGAAAATAACAAAAGAATACGGTAAAACTTCTATTAATAGCCCGTGCTTTTATCTACATCAGTCACTGAACTCTGTCCTTTAAGTCCTTTTGCACAAAACACTCAATCCAAGTCAAATACTATCAAATTGTTCAAATTTAAATCCGGAATGAACATTATTTATACAAATTGGGCTTGAATAACTGATCAATTACGAATCATTTGATCATTTGATTCTTTGGTGCTCACAGTTTCTCTAAAATGAACTGACTGATTTGATTATGGAGAATCTAACTGATCTAACGATGTGTATCATTTCCATATTGACAAAAGTGTAAACTATTTGTGTAGGCGATTAAAAGCAGCTTAGATCAAGTGGGCTACTCTGTGGGCTTCAAGAGGTTTCATAAATCCAAAGAACTTGGTTTTATTTGTAAAATACGCAGCCACTAATTGGGACCCTGCTTTAAACAAAAGTTTTTCGTACACACACAGTCGATGCTTAAATGGCCTGATAGCTGCAAATATGTGTTCAGTCGGTAGATAATCTGTTTGGGACGAACAAACACTGACTGCAAAAAACTCCACCGGTCAAATTAGTGTGAATAATGTGAGCACGCTGCTGTTCTACTGAAGATAAATGAGAATTCATGACACATGTTTGTATCCACTGACACAGGGAAGACACTCTCACACACTGAAGAAATACTGTACTTCCCTCACACACACTCTAACACACACTCTTACACACACTCACACACACTCTGTTTGTATTATATCTGTTACTGTAAACAGAGAACACGCTTGATAATTACTCTGCATGTTTAACTGCCCAGCGCACTGTCCAAGTTCACCTCACAATGAAAAATAGTGAAAATATTGTGATTCCAAATATTGCCGTGTCTCGCAGCAACAGCTGTGGACGTATTTCCATCATCTCTAATGACCTGCTTGTATTTCAAATATTCTCACTGTTCAGTTGTGAAATCGCTGATAAGGCTGGGGGTCGACTCATATTTGGGTCAGAGAAGGGTAGATGTAATTTTACCAAAGTAATTCCACTTTTTTGAGGAAAAACCACATCAGATACAAATTATTGTTCTAATCAGAGTGTTTTTAAATAAGTCCCGAGGGGATCTTTAACAATAGAATTTATATGTCAAATTTATTTTGGCTTAAAAACAGACTCTTAGCGAGCTCAGACTCTTGAGTAGGTTAACAGCAGCCTGTCGGGGTCCCGCTGCAGTGCAGAGACAGAAGAGACTGTACAATATACTGTATCACTGGTCCTGGTGAACATTACAGTATGTTGTCATTTTAATCCCTTTATTAGAGACAGAGAATGCCATCAACACCTCAGACTCCAAACAAAGGGAGAGCCTCCAGCTTGGTTTTCTTTTCATATTATCATAATCAGGATCAGATTTAATCCCTATTCATACATAAATAAATCCCTTTTATTTATTAGATTGTCAATATTTTTACATATTTTTTCAGAATGACATCACTGAATGAACAATGCGGCAGATATAGGCAGATGCATCAGTCGATCTTAATGATCGATTGGGAGCTGCTTTTAAAGGTCTCTCTAGGAGAAAGTCACTTAATAAATGTGTTTGTGTGTTTCACTTTTGTGGGAAATCTGACACAAAGACTTGTACAAGACAATATTGCAGGACGTCATTTAAAAAAATGGAAGAAATGATGAAGAAACTACTGTGACCTTGAAACTTGAAACTATGAACATGAACTAGTTCATTTCAATCTGAGTGAACTGAACTTGGATCTAGCTCTTGTGAAGTGTGTATACTGTCAGCAGGACTCTACCTTTGCACACTCACACTGAGGTAGAAACATTTATTTTTCTACCTGTTTTTGGCTCGTAGCTGACTGATCTCAGACGTCTGCAGCAGCAGCTCCTTCTCCAGCTTGTTCGTGGACAGAGAATTCTCCAGGAGTTGGATCTCTATTCGAGATGTGTGGTTGAGCACCTGGTGGAAGAAACGTCATTAAATCCAGGAACTCTGCTCTCAAGCGTCGACATCAGCCACCTGGCGACTCATTACCTTGGCTTCGACCACGTTAAGTTTGCGTGTCTGCTCCGCCGTGTGGCTGAGAAGGTTTGTTCCGATCTCCAGCATGGTGGCTGTTTGGTTGTGAACGACATGCGGTGGTATGTTAGTGATGTCGGGCTTCATGCTCTTCTGAATGACTTTCTCCAACTGTGGATGGAAAAGATAAACAGAGAGTAAAACGAAGTGCAAAGAAAGACAGAAGGACTTTATATTTTCCTTCCACAGCATACAGCATCATTAGTAAATAACACTTTCGAAGGTGTAAGGTGAGTTGAGTCTTTCCAGAAGCTCAGCATTGAATTACTGCTTTCTGAGGACCACTCAGTGCATCAAGTTCACCAAATCAAACATGTCAGGAGGTCTGGTATATAAAGACGGAGGTCTCCATCTCTGGGAATATCAACCGATGCCAACTCGCACTGCCATGTTGTGACCTTCAACCCCTGACAAATAAATAATCCATCCCTCCAGCCATCTATTCATCCCTCAGACTCCATGTCTTCAGGATATCAGTGCCACTGAGAAGCACAGGGAGTTGATAAATATAACGCTGCACCAACAAACACATTGGTCCCAGTGGGACGGCCAGTTACCAACTGTCACTGGGAGGGGAAGTTCAGGCCAGATCACACTGGAGTCTGGATCACTGTTCTTAAATCCCAGCACAAAACTCTATTTAATCATCACACTCATTCACTGCCAAAAGCATCACTGCGTCCTCAGATTGTTCTCTCCATGGATAAACTTAGCAGATGTTGTTTAAACAGCGAGAGAATTTATAGGAATGACTATTCCGTTCAAAGGTTTCACACTCTTTAATCTACAGTATAGATCAGACAGGGATCCCTGAGACTACAGTCCAGTCCAGTCGATGAGAACCATTGCTGATACTAACATATTGAGATTTCAATGTGTAGCATTTCTTAAAAGATGACTTGTGGCTGGTCTGCCAAAAGACAATCAATAAAAATAATTAATATTAGAGATGTCAGGGTCGGTCCAAGCATATGTTAATAGATTTTAATGTATCAAATAAAATAAAGGCAGTACAGTGTTTAAACCATCTCAGCCTGCAAGTGTTGCAGCACTGCTATCCTTTACCACAGCTGGGCTCCACACTGCAGCATTCAGAGAGTGGAAACTGGAGTCCAGGAAGGTAAAATGAACGGATTCCCTAAACTCCAATGCTAATTATCATTATCAAAGAGCACAGAACATTCAGGTAGCAGCTTCTCGTTTTTAGCCAGCAGCAGGTCATATCAGCTGTCACTAATCAAAGTTACTTCCATGAGTTACTTGATGGAAAACCAAAATTAAACTTGTCTGTTGTTTGGTTGAAGTGCTCAGCTGAAGATGTTTTGAGAGGGAAGAGGATCAATCGGAGTGTTTCTGCAGTGCCAACAGAGTGAGATCTCTTCTTTCTACTGGATTTTGATCAAGTAGCTCATTAAAAATGTGTCATACTTAGTCTATAGCTGTTGTTTTAGTGTGTCGGATACATATGTAATGATCATTTAGGTGAAGTAGTGGATCAGACTCAGTATTGGCAGATATCCCGTGTTAAAGGTTTTACCTCTTGGAGAGACTTGTTGCACACTAACTGATTATGACCACAAATGGTGGTCAATGGCAAATTAAAATAATAACCAGAAAGCACAGAGGGTTACACAATCCTCTAATTAAAGAAATGTTATCTGCACCTGGATCCAGATCAGCTTCATAATATACACAGAGAATTATCAGGAGATACGTTTCAGATTCATTTCAACAAGTAAGTGCAGCAGTTCATGAGAAAATAAGGAAAATGTCCAAATAAGTCAAATATCTCTCAATGTTAAGAAATCACCCTGGACACTGACCAAAAACGAATCGCTTGTTTATTGACTCGTGTCCAAACTTTGAACATTGAACAAATTTTTATGAAATCGGTTAACTAGTTTAATAAAATGCAAAATGCTTGAAAACCCAAAGAAAGTCATTTTTAGTTTGGTTTAGATGTGTTTGTTATGACTGCTGAAGGCTGACAGCTGACTCATATTTCATAAGTGCTGAGTAATCCTCCAGTTTCACCAACACTATGTTTTCATGGTTTTATTCCTTTCAACTGCTGATATTATCCACGTTGATTGACTTTATCGTATTCATCTTACTTCATGCATGCTGACGGCACTATTACTCATTTTTCACTGCCCAATTAAAGTTACTCAAGAGTTATTATGTTTAGTCTGCTTTAATTCAGCTTCAGATTAAACAAGCATCGCTCTGTTCAATCAGAAAATGATTTTACGAATGGCGAGATATGCATCACGGCGGTCACAAACTAAAGTGGCCTTTTGGAGGGACTTTTGTGTGAGTAAATTGGGCTAACCTGGAACACAGAGAGAAGAAATCAGATGTTGTGACGCAGCGAGAAGTTAATCAAATAATCAAACAAGGAGAAAATAGCTGGAACGAGCTGGTTCGTTTCTCCCTCCTGCTCGGCTTCCTGAGATGCTGGGCAGATAAACTCAGACGAAAGCCAAAACCTCCACCTGCCTGCTGCTGCACAGTGCAACCAGCAGAGACACAGAGGGGGAAGTAGGAGAACAAAATAACTGCAGTATTGCTTTGAATGTGCAGTGTGAACAGAAACATGTTGTTAGAGAATAAAGGAGATATTTCAACAGTATAAAAAATAAAGAATTGAGAATAATTGAAACCAACAAGTAAAACCAAAGTTCTGCAGGTTCTTTTTTTAGTCTTTTGTTATTTTCTTGTTGAGTCTCTAGATACACTGTGTGCTGACTTTTTAATTGACCCTTACTTCCTGCTGTTGGATTAGAACTACAGCATATGAAACCTCTTCACACAGACACACAGAAACTGGCATACATGCACACAGACATGCACACACACAAACACAATTATAAACTCCACAAACCAACCAAAGAGCTCTGGGACTACGCAGTCAACCCCACGTATGGAGGGCTTGTTTCTGAGATGCTAACTCAAACCACATGTTGGCTTCGCTGTGATCTGGCCCTCTGGGTGACTTCACAGAGGGAGTGGGAGGGAGGGGGGGGGACTGGGTCACCAAACAGCCCCGATAACAAGACTGACGCACAGGCAAGTAGCACCGATATGGATCTGGGGTAACAAGTGCACTGTGGGTCGCTGGAGTGTGTCGGGATCTGAGCTGGCAGCTCCGGACTTGAGTGACTGGACTGAGGAAGGTCTGTACGAACAGATGATGTTAGAGTGAAAAGTGAAGCTGTGGAGATCGGTTTAGTGGATGCCTGTACAAAGTATCCACAGATTTAAGGCTGCACTTTTTTATTCCACAAATTCGTCTTCCTCGTTAAGACGGAGCTGCTCTTCCCCCGAGGGAAGGTGCCTCCCGTCCATGAAGAACTCAGTGGTGGCTCCACTGGATGACATCTGTCCTTCTCTGCCAACATCGCTGCCACAACCCACTCCTGCAGATGTATGAAACTTCAGGAGGATATGGCCGTTAACCTCTTAACCAGACAAATAAGATGTGTCATCAGCAGTCATTTCACACTATAATGACTTTTTGATTTCTCGGAAAATGGAAACCTCAAACTGTCTGTATGACAGAAATTGGCCAGTGTGGGAAAGGGTGAAGACTGTTCTGTCAAGAGACTTTCATACCATGTTTAAATGACTGATTTTAAACACTTGTGTATGGTCGTTCAGTCAGCCAACACACACACCCACACACACCCACAAACACCCACAAACACACACACACACACACACACACACACACACACACACACACACACACACACACACACACACACACAGACTGGCAACCTTAGATACATGAAAGTTCAGTGTGTTTGTTTCATTGAATTCATCGTGTATACAATGAGCCGTCTTCCAAGACCTGCACCACTGATCTGGTTGCGGTTCAATTCACATCTTTTCATTACAACTCTTGAAAGCCATCAGCTTATACAATGATATAATTTGACTTGGAAAAGCACCCTGAGCTCGATAAAGCTGAGCCAAAATGCACATGTAGAGCTTGTTCTATTATTGCAGTGTGTCTCTAAGTATCAGAGCGTCCAGATGTTTTGGCTGAATCTCAGAGTGTTATGAAGCAGCAGAACAAGCCAACGGCCTCAGGCTTCGTTTCTGAGCAGCGCTCCACTTGACATACTGTAGGGAAGCATCTCTCTGTGTGGTGCCTGACTTTTAGACTATCTGTGTCCTCTCTCTATTACCCTTGACAACATTCAATCTCCTGTTTCTCTTTCTGTATCTCCCATGTATGAATTAACATTTAACATTTTACTCAGTAGTGTCATACAAGACTTGGAAATACAGCTGTAACAGTTTTACATATCATATCATATTCAGTCATGTTATAAAGCTTGTGCACCTGTTTAACTTCTGACTCTCTAAAGGTATTCTGGAGTGATGGAAAGTACATTAGCTTATAATACTTGTCTAATTTTAGTTAAGTTTGATTGCAGTACAACAAGGATTTGAGTACTTCTTCCACAGCCTTGTTTTTTTCTTGTTCTTTTTTGAGCCGAGTTGTCAAAACTACCTTCAGACTGACTACAGACCACATTGATTCCTTTTCAATGTAAGTCTCATACAGGACAGATACTAGGTTGTGGACCATATGTAGGTTGTGTTGTGTTTTTTCACCTGTCAGGGTTAACTTGGGCGTTCTTTTCTTAGCGTATATCATAAAACTGTCCTCACGCCTCATTATACTCTAACATTAGCACATTTCCTGACAGGTATTTTCCTAAAACACCAAACCACAGCAGAGATGTTTTACATATGTTACTCCAGGGGAATATAAGATAACAACGTCATGGTAGTCCGGTCCACGTACGCGGGTACAGCAAGTGTGACTTTTACTTTTCATTAGATTGAGAAATTTAAAGAGTTTAAGCTCCCACCCCCTCACAGATCGTTGCTCCAATGTTCTTCTACCTAAAACGATGAGTTATAGGTGTTGTTTTAATGCTTTGATATTACATCTGCAGGTCAAGCAGAATAGTTTAAAAATGACAATGAACACCACAGAACAGGACCCAGATTAGCTGTATTAAAGTGACTGTACATTTAATTTACCAACTCAAAACCAATGAGAGTCAAGCAGAAGAACAGTTACTCTGTCAGTA